GAGCTGCCTCCTGCAACCTCAGGCCATGGCTCCACGCCCTGGCAGCAGCTCCTGGGCAGAGCTGGTCATTGTGCCCCTGCAGCCCGAGCTCTCAGGATTTTCTCCTTGGGTCAGAGCCCAGTGTGCAGTGGAGGATGGCCCCTGTAGGTGGCAAGAGGTGTGCAGGGCATTCGGAGACCTTCTCGCTGGCACTGGACCCACGAGGCATTTGGCTCCAGGCCAGCAGCTGCTGGGGTCTGTCCGGTCTCAGAGGTGTGAAGGCTGCAGAGGCAGAAGGTGGGGGTGAGGGTCAGAGGGCAAGGGGGCCGGGACTGGGAGAATCGGATGCTTTCCACATGCTGGGGATGGGATGGGGCAATGAGAGGGGTACAGAGGGGAGCAGGAGTGTGAGAAGAGGCTGTTCTGGGTGTTCACGGGTGGAGCTGCCGGAGCATCAGAGATCAGAGGAGCACGCGTGTTGGACCAGTTGATTCAGCTGTGCACTCCAGCAGAGAGCTCCTTGAAGGCATTGCTGCTCTGCACTCTCTTCCCATCCCCTGCCCAGGGCTGGTGCACAACTAGGCCCCCAGGCAGTAATTGGAAACAAACTAAAGGTGGACTTGACACACATCACAAGGGAGCATCTGCATTGCACTCTCAGAAGAAGCACTCTGGTCCGGCCCTTCAGCAGGCACCAGTGTGTTGACATGCTGTTGACACCTCGTGTGTGTGTGTGTGTGTGTGTGTGTGTGTGTGTGTTTGCTTGCACACATGCATACGGGAAGTAACATCCTCTTTAAATCCATGCATTGGCCACATGAGGAAGTGGGTAATCCCCACTTTGTAGGACAAAAGTCACCATGGTGAATTGCTTGCCAAAGGCAAGCTACCGTTTCATGACTGGCAGATCAGGGTGTAGTCCCGGGCTCTTTTTTTTTTTGCACCCACAGCGGTGTGGTAAAATGGAATTATTTGTATGACTCTTCCATTCAGGTCTTTGTAATGCCCATCAAATCAAACGATTGTGTCTTCTGTAGTCCGAGTTGACTGAAGAACAACATTCAAATTTCATAGAATTTCATAGACATCCATATGTGTATAAGAAAGAGCTTTATATATGAGTAATTGTATATTGAGGAAACATCCCAACCCAGTCCAGATCAAGTCCTTAAGTCCAATTTTAGCCCATATGCCTGATACTAGCCCATAAATTCCTCTTTAGACTCACAAGACCGGTGGGTAGAAGGTCTTGTGGATCCAGTGACATGGAAGCATCTCAACACTGGCACGGGTCTCCACGTGGCTCCTCCAGCCCTCTGAGTGTCTCAACAGCAGCAAAGGGCAGGCAGAGAGACTGGGTTTGGCCTACAGTGAGCTAATTTTCTCTGTTGTGCCTCCAAATGATGTCTTCAAGCTCGCTCAAGTTGACAGGAGATTATGTAACTGCCACAGGTCTCAGACACTCAGGGTCATTGCATCAATTCCCACTCAGAGCAGCCCTGTAGGACAGGGCAGAACTGCCCGTGTGGGTTTCTGAGACTAACTCTCCACTGGAAAAGAAAGCCTTGTCTTTCCTGCAGAACGCCTGGTGATTAGCAGCTCAAGTTGCAACTACTGCGCCACCTGGGCTCCTTGGGGTGCACGGGAGCCTGGCAGCTTGGTGGTTAAGCACTCAGCTGCTACACATAAAGTCAGTGCTTCAATTCCACCAGCTGCTCGCTAGCTCGCTCTGTGGGAAAAGATGTGGCAGGCAGCTTCTGCGATTCTACTCTGCCCTGGGGGCCCATGAGGAGCTGGAATGCACTTGACAACAATGGGTTTTCTCTTACTTTGTTTTTAGAGCACATAAAATAGCTACATGGGTTCCTTCAGCAGTGGGGTCAGAAGAGAGACCATAGAATAAAAAAGAGGTTTGGAGGCTGACGTGCTAAAGCCAAGGGCCTGAGTGAGACTATCCAGGAGGAGTGAGCAGAGAATAAGGCAAAGGCTGACATGAAGAGGCCGAGGAAGCAGGGCTGGAAGGGAGGAGAGGAAACCTGGTGAGCATGATGCTGGGTGGCTTCCTGCAGGTAGTCATCTGGGCAGTCTGGGAGCAGGGAGGTGAGAATGCAGAGTTCCCTGGAGACTCTGGGTTTGAGCTCCAGCTCCTCTCCTGTTGACCATGTACCCGGCCGGCCGGACATGTCAGAGCTTTGTCTCAACCCTGCAACTTACGAGTGGTGAAAGCAGGGCCCGGAAAGATGGCAACTGCCCAGAGGTCTCCCAGAAGGTCACTGGTGGAGCTGCACCACGGCCCAGGACCATCTCCTGTGGGGGCCTCTGCCTCAGGAACACCTTGCTAGAACCCTGAAAGAGGCAAAATCAGGACATTTGGCCACCTGCAGGTGTGGGATTCCAGGAAGCGAGTGGAACAAGTACTTTGTTGGTTTCAGAAGGTGTGAGCCGTTTGATAGGGTAACTCTAACCTCCTGGGTTCCTGAAAACCGAGTTAAGTTTAGCAGCATCTTCAGGACCAAGGGCGGGGGTGGGGGCGGGGGAGGTTGCAGGTGTTGGTGGGCCTCTGACATGGTTTTCGTAAGCTCGCTGTGAACAGAAGCAGCAGCAGCTCCCCAAGGACTGCCCAGGGTTGGGGAGTCGTGAGCCAAGACCTTGTGTTGGGGAAGGGCTCCCAACATGGGGGTGTAGGTGAGCGGTAGGAATCCTGAGTGTCTTTCTTGTCTGAAAGCCCCAAGTCCTGTGGAGACGGGAGGGCTACCATCCCACGGCCCACCTGCCTACTGAGAACCACTTGGGCTCATTGATTAGTATCTACCAATCCTTCCCAAGATTCCCTGAGTCAGACTCTCCCGGGAAAGGCCTGAAGTTCCTAGTTTTACTCAGTCCCTTGGGTGGTTCTGATAAGCAGTAAGCAGGGGGAAGACTTGTCCAAGATAACCCGTTACCTAGTCCTGAAGCATGGAGCAGTGTCACTCGGGTGAGGGCTGATATGTGAGGCACCTGGCTCCCCAGGGAGGGAGGTGCACAGCCAAGGACCAGCCAGGGTCCTTGAATCCTCAGTGGCCCCTTCCTTGACCCTGAACGTGTGCTCTCTGAGCTAGGTGGTAATGACGAGAGCAAAGGGAGAAACACAGATTGGGGCTTTGACTTGAGGATTCAGGCCCAAGGGTCAGTGTCGTTCATGGGATACTGCCACAGTGGACATTTGTATAGGGCTCGGGGATGGGGTGGGGCGGGGCGTGGAGCAGCTGATTGTCCATGGGGCAAGAAAGACCTCTCACATGGGTGGTCTTCAGGGTAGGTCTTGAAAGATGCATACCTTTGCTGGTTAACAGAAGGGTGGCCCTAAGCATGGTGTGGAGTACCAGGAAGGGCAGCGGGCAGCACTGAGGCTGAAGGGCCTCGCCACCCAGCATCCCATTGAAAGTAGCCTGGAGCTATATGGAGGGGGTCATGGGGCGGTCTTTGGCAGGAAGCTGGGATGATCAGAGCTGTGTCTCAGAAGAAAGGGAGTTGATGGGAATGGGTCTTGCAATGAGGGAGGAGGCTGAGGGAAGAGGTGGAGGCTGACGGGCAAGCTCACACCTGCTGGCTGGCAGGGAAGAGCAAGGGTGGCAGCCTCCTTTTCTTGGGGCTATGTCATTTAGGAGGGTTCATGAGCCTTGGGATGAGGGGTGTTCGGGGAGTCCCCTCCTTAAGCAAGCACACTGGGCAGATGCCTGGGCACAGGGCAGTCCTCACCAGCCCCTTTCAGGGGAACTCTGCTCCGTAACTAGCACTACAGCCTGTGTTCTTGGGTCCTGTCTTTGTCCCTGTCCTGTTTGCCTCACAGGTGAAGCTGGTCACACTAGAGTGTAACAGTTCCCAAAGTGTGTCCCCTGAAGCAATGGCCAAATAGGTTTGAGGCATGATGACGCCAGCCTCTCATCTGGACAGCTTCTCAGAGTTTTTTCTTTCTTTTTTTAAAGATCATTTTATGACAATAATAATCATTTATCAAGGGGTCACAAGGGTGGGGGTGGGGAGGGAGGGGAAAGAGAGGAGCTGATACCAAGAGTTCAATAGAAAGTAAGTGTCTAGATTGGTCAGTATAAGACATGAAAAAATAATTTATAAATTATCAAGGGTTTGTGAGGGAGGGAGGGTGGGGGAGGGAGGAAAAGAATGAGCTGATACCCAGGGCTCAAGTAAAAAGAACATATTTTGAAAATGATGATGGCAACAAATATACAAATGTGCTTGACACATGGATAGACGTATGGATTGTGATAAGAGCTGTATGAGTCCCCAATAAAATAATTACAAAAAAAGAAAAGAAGTAAATGTCTAGAGAGGAAGGATGGCAACATATGTGCAAATGTGCTTCATACAATGGATGTGTGGATTGTTATAACAGCTGTAAGAGCCCCCAATACAATGATCTTTAAATTAAGAAAACAAAACAAAAAGCAAAAGATCATAGTGTTGGGGGCTCTTAGAGCTCTTGTAACAATCCATGCATCCATTGTATCCAGCACATTCCTGTCTCGGAGCCTTGGATGGGCGTCTCGATTTTCCAGAAGCAGGATTTCATAGACCGGCTCCCACCGTATCTGAGCAGAGGACTTTGTCTGCAGAGCCTCGGCTGGGGTTCGTGGGTCCTGGAGTCTGTCTGGTCTGCGGAGAACACTGGGAATCTTGGCTCTCTCCGGGTTCCCTGTACGTCCCTCCTCCTGTATCTGCATTACAAATGAGAAACACAGTGTCTGCAAGGTGTTGGAGGAGGACCAGACAGGGTGACCAACGCTCCAGCCCCCTGAAGGTGGAGGCGTTTCCTGGGATGCGGGACTATGCGTGTCAAGGGGCTTTCGGAGGACAGTTGGTCACCCGGTTCCAGCAGAGGTGCTGCTCGCATGTGTAAACGCCTTGTCCATGTCCTCCTGGAGACGTCACGCCTCTTGTGTGGCCGTGGCCTAGCCAGCAGACCCACCTGCGGAGGGAAGAGCCCAGGGCCTGCTAACTTCTCCTTCCCTTCGCCCCTCTAGTCGGCCCCATGATGATCGAATTTAACATGCCGGTGGACCTGGATCGGGTAGCGAGGCAGAACCCGAAGGTGAAGGTGGGCGGCCGCTATGCCCCCACGGACTGTGTGTCTCCGCACAAAGTGGCCGTTATCATTCCATTCCGCAACCGGCAGGAGCACCTCAGGTACTGGCTGTACTACTTGCACCCAATCCTGCAACGCCAGCAGTTGGACTATGGCATCTATGTCATTAACCAGGTGAGGCTGGGGAAGGGATGAGGGAGGGTGTGGTGTGCACGCGTGCACGTGTATCGAGTAACATGTGGGAGAACGAGAGCGGTTTTTAGGACTCACCGTACTAGTTGACAGTGAGGAGCCATCGCCACCGTCTTTATTTTCGCCAGATGGAGCAGCTACGTGGCATGCGAGCACGTTGCTGTCGACGCCGACAGCCAAGGGGAATCGCCGAGCTGTTGTCATTTGTGTGTGCCTTTCCAGAAACACTAAGGAAAGGAGGGCCTCCCTAATTCTCCCAAAGAAAAGTGCTGATCGTATCTTCTCATCCCACGTTGGTGTGTTTTCCCTCTTACTGTAAAACAACAACAATAACATCCATTTAGATGTCTATTAGGCCACCAGAAGTTGATTCCATTACACTCTGTGACTTCTGAGGCACCGCAGAAGATAGTGCCTGAGTTCAGGCCACGTGCCTGCATGCCAGCCCCCAGCCAAAGGTCTGGGGAAGTCTGACTTGGGACCAGCTGACAGTCATGTGGACTGGCCCAGGCCTGCGAAAGGAGAGGG